CGGGAAAATTAAAATTGAGTGTATATTATATATGTATTTTATATATATATATATATATATATATATATATATTTTTTAATTAATTATTTATTTCTATTTCATAAAGCAAGTTCAATGTTAGTTGATATTACTGAACCAGAACCTGTGGATGATGTACCTGAATGGAAAGGTGTAAACATGGATGAAATACATAAAGGTTTAGGTATATATGATTGTCAAGAATTACCACCTATTTGTCCATCTTCATCTCATATAGTATTAATATCGGTGAATATTAAATTCAATAAATAATTTTCATTAATATATATGAATTTATTTTAAAAATGAATTTATTTTTAAATAATATATCTTAAAATAGTTACCATTACCCGTACGTGGAACACCAAAACCATATCCTACATATCAAGTAGAAAAGTGGTGTCAGGATTATGTTAGAATGCCACATTCAAAACATAGTGTATATCCAATAGATGAGGTAAGTAAATAATAATATAAATGATATTTATAAGTAAGTCAAAATTATTAAATAATATAATAATTGATATTTAATTAAATAATAATTAATTAATTGATATTAAATTTATATTTCATTATAGAATGGAACTAGACGTTGTCGAAACAGATGGGAAATAATACAAGAATCATTACTTCAAAATTTTATTTCAACTCATCAACTAGAAAATGCAATACTTTCTTATAATCACATATATGCACAACGTTGGGATTTTACTGCACTTCATCATTTCTTTTCTGAGGTAATACTTTAAAAATTCTTTATATTTTTTTTCAATATATTCTTACATATTTTCATTATAATAATTCCAAACTAAAGGTACTTGATGAAGAAGAAGCAAATATTTTCTTTGAAGTATTAATGCCAAAAATGGTTCAGCTTGCTTTGCAACTTCCTGTTTTGGTAACAGGTTCAGTGCCTCTTTTAAAACGCCACACTAATGGTGCAATAAGTCTTAGCCAGTTACAAATCGCCTCTTTACTAGCTAATGCATTTTTTTGTACATTTCCAAGACGTAATTCAACTAATCCACAATCTGAATATGGAAAATACCCATACATCAATTTCAATAGGTACTTTGTTATGCAGTTTTTAACCAAATTAAAATTGAATATGACTATTAAAAATTGACATTGTATAAATAATACAATGTAAAATAATGCAAAAATAATTATAAATAATTATTTTTTTAATTATAAATAATTAAAAGAACTCATTTAATATATTAATATAATACATTTATATAGGTTATTTTCAGCATATAAAGAAGGAAAATGGAATAAGTGTGAATCTGTAATGGAAAAAATGAAATGTATATTTCATTATTTTCGCAGAGTAACATCTAAAGGTGGGTACGTTAATATTTATTTAATGATACATATATAGAGAACCAATATATTATTTATTATAATTTTCCCATAGAGCAGCCCCAGAAGGTGTAGTAACAATTCAACGACGATATATTCCTAAATCCGATTGTCCAAAATGGGATGAACAAATACAGAAATTGTTACCTCTACATATTACAAGTAAAGGAACAATAGAAACAGAAGGAACTGGATTTTTGCAAGTGGATTTTGCTAACAAGTATATTCTTCAATATTTAATTAGATTAACATTTATCAAAATACATTTATAAAAATATAAAATACTTTTAGATATGTAGGTGGTGGTGTTCTTGGGTTAGGATGTGTACAAGAAGAAATAAGATTTGTTATTTGTCCTGAATTAATGGTGACAATGCTTGTTACGGAAGAATTAGATGACACTGAAGCATTAATTGTCAGTGGTATTGAAAGATATAGTAAATATAAAGGTTATAGTAATACTTTTAAATGGGTTGGAGACTATGTTGATGAAACACCTAAAGACAGTAGCGGAAGACGACTAACATCTATTGTTGCAATAGATGCTCTTTATTTTACACATACACAATCGCAATTCAACATAAATAATATAACAAGAGAACTTAATAAGGTTTAAAATTAATTATAAATATATAAAATATATAAAATAATATATTAAAAATAATAGTTGATTAATTATGTAAATTTTAATAATTTTTATATTTTTTTATAGGCATATGTAGGATTTGTTGGTTGCGAAGGTAGCAAGAACAATCTTCCTGCTGTTGCAACTGGAAACTGGGGATGTGGTGCATTTCGTGGAAATCCAAAATTGAAAGTTTTATTACAATTAATGGCTGCAGCTGTAGCAGGTCGATCAATGGTTTATTTTACTTTTGGGGATACAAATTTACGAGATGCTATTGCTGAAATGTACATGCACTTCGTAAAACATGAAATAAATATAGGTAGTAATTTATATTCAAATATTTTTTAAATATATTATTTAAAATATTTTTAAAATATATGGAAAAATTCATTATATTATATGTTTTAGCTCATATTTTTTCATTGTTGGTGCAGTATCAAGAATTTGCTTCAACAGGAAACTTAGATTTTTATCGTTTTTTGTATAACCGTAGTAAAATAAAATCATTTACACAACATTTAAATACAAATATTCATACAAAAGTCTCTATAACAAAAGAAATTTTGAAAAAAAGTAAAAGCATTAATAATGGAGAAAAAAGATCTTTTCAGTTAGATAAAAAATATCCTGAAACGGAAGAAGAAAAAATACAAGGTTGGTTAACTAATATTGATGAAGATACTAATAGTAAAAGAAAAACGGAGATTTTAAAAGAAGAATATATAGACGTTAAAAGAATTGTGGAAAAAGAACAGATTCAAAGTAAAGATAATATAAAGAAAAAAGAAGGACAAATTTATGATAGAGATAGTGTAGAGAAAAAAAGAAAACAGTCTTTATGGAAAGTTTCGGAAGATACGACACAGACTAAAACGATTCAAGAATGCCGATTATCTGGTTTAGAATTATTAGATACAAAACAAGATCTTATTTCACAATACTCGGATAGTGGTTGTAGTGATTCGACCAAAGATGAAAATCATCAATCAATGAAGACTTCTACAGATACACATAATACATACAAATTAATTCAAACTTTAGGTGAAAACTCTATAGTTCCAAATAAAAATGAATCGCCAACTAAAAAATCTGGACAAAGAAAAATTTCAGATTTTTTTCAACGAACAAGTTAAAAATTTTTAAGCATTTATAATTAAATAGTTCTTTTACTTTATTAAATTTTGACACAAGACTTTCTAAACACATATGTACTTTGTATATAATGTAATAATACGAATAAATAAAAAAGTAATTAATTTTGCAAATATTGTGTTTTTCTTACTATATTGATTATTATTTAAACGAAAATATAAGAACATATAAGATTATATATATGCTTGAATATTTTTTAAGTTTAATATTTCTTTTCTAATTTAATATAATTTTTTATTTAAATATATACAAAATCAATTAAAAATAGAAATTACTTTTTATTATATGTGAATATTAAAGCTTAATACATTCAAAAAATGAATAGATCTGTGATTATTAGCAGTCACGTGATACTTATCGACGTATCGCGTTGGTTGTGGACCAAAGAAATTGTCGAATATGAAGATGGCTGCTGCCACTGAAATATTAAATACTCTCATTGAAAGAGCAATTTTCCAAAAGAAAATGTAGAATTTTCTGGCTTGTGTCGCGTTTCAGGTAATAATTCATTAATTATTAGTGAATACGATACATGTCCGCATGATGATGTTCAAATTTTATTTGTAAGAATCGTGGGCGGTTACGAAGTCATTGTAATTTTACTTTAATTTGACATTTTGACAGAAGATAGACGTAAATATTGAACTGAGTGTTTGATGAAGAGTAGTGTCAATAGTAAATAAAAGTATAAAAATTATTATGACACGTGCATGAAAGATTGTTTGATGTGTATAATCAACTGAGAAATAGTGTTTCGATTTACTTCTTACACAACAATGTGCCATTTTCACATGTTATATATTCTCCGATATGTTAACGTTTTTTGTATAACCGTTTTATACAATAGCATAATAAATACTTAAAAAGATTTTACTTATTAATAAATAAACGTTTATATATTATATAATCTTTTTTTAAAAATTTATTAATTATTTTTCAATAACATTTCTATTCAAACTTTTATAGTAGTATGGAAACATTTTATAATTTTTAATATATTGCTATATCATACAAACATTTATGTTGTTATTTATATTTCCTTTTTTTATATATTTTTTATGATTAATTAAAACTGTAAGTAAGAATATAAATAATAATTTAAAGGAGTGTAATTAGTTATTTTTACATAAAATTTGTATAATAATTATTATGAATATTAATAAATTAGATTAATTAATTAATTAAAATGAATTATAATTTTAAAGATACTATACATATTATCATAATACTATATATGTATAAACTTAGTTTAATTATATAATTGATTATATTGATTATTTATAATTGATTAAACTTGTTTTACAGAAAGTAATTTACTATTGCAAATTCAATAATTTATATTGTATTTTTATCATTTTATGAATATTTTATTTATTATATTTAACAAAACTTACTAGATATAACAATAATTTTATAATTTTATTTATATTCATTTATATTATATATATATAATCATTTATTTATTCTTTTATATATTTAAAATATCAATATATTATTAAAAATATAGATTTTCTTTTACAAAATGTATTATATATACATATATAAAGATATTAATATAATTATGTAAGTTAAAATATATTAAATATTTAATTTTTTTATTCAATTTAATATTAAAATTTAATATTAATATGTATATTTAATTTATATATATTATTTATATGTTTTTAGCAAGTACTAACTATGAACATAATGCGTAAATTACGAGGGGGTACAAGTGTTGGAGGTATGGGTTCTAATAATACTGGTGGTTTAGATGATTGTACTGGAAGTACAAATCCTCAACATACTGCTCTGGGCCTTATGCATCTTAAGAAACTTTTTTCTGAATATACCCATCCTCCACATATTCTTTCTGATGCTGAACGTAATGATAAATTATATAATATGTTGCCATTATTTTGCAAGGTAAGTTTTTCTATTTTAATATCTACCACATGTAAATATAATGAAATGTGAATGTAAATTTTATTATTTTTTGTTTTTATTAAATTATTAATTTGAATTACTTAATATTTAATATTAAGTTAAATTTAATATTTAATATTTAGGTATTTGGATCTAGTCCAACAGGAGATATGAGTGAAAAATTTTGGGATATTTTGGCATTTACACAACAAGTATCTAAATTAATGGTATTTGAAATCAGTAGGAGGGCAAGCAATCAAAGTACTGAAACTGCAAGTTGTGCCATTGTAAAATTTTTAGAAATTGAAAATAGTGAAGAATCAAGTAATGGTTGGATGTTGCTCTCTGCTCTAAATTTACTTGCAGCAGGTGATACTTCTGTAATACAAGTATGTATTTCAATTATATTTCATTATTCTAAATAATGAATTTTACATTTATTTATTGATATATTTATATTTTATTAGGCAATGACTACTGCTTCTGTTCCATCAACTTTAGTAAAATGTTTATATTTATTCTTTGATTTACCTGAAATGATTGACGATGAAACCGAAATTACGGATGCAAATAGCGAATTTACTCCGAAACAACGTCGAATATTATTACAAAAAATATTTGTTCAAGTAAAAATTTCATATACATTGTCATGTTTTAATGAAATATTTATTTGAATAATTAATTTGATTTTTAAACTTCTAGTTATTAGTGAGATTATGTAGTCATCCATATCCAGCAGAAGAACTTGCTCGCAAAGATGATCTAACTTTATTATTCTCAGCAATAACTAGTTGGTGTCCTCACTATAATGTAATGTGGCGTAAAAGCGCGGCAGAAGTATTAATGACTTTATCTCGACATGGACTTACTCAAAATGTAGTAAGTTATATTCATAGTAAGTATAATTTTTTATTAATATAATTTTTCATAAATTGATTTCTATTTGAGCATGAATCTAATTTCTTCAAAACATACTAAATAATCATTATTAAATATATTTTAATTTTATATCAAATACTATTATTAATTTTTAATTATAGATAAAGGATGTATAGCATTATGTGTTGATAATATGCAACGTGTACCTGAGTTGGCACCATTGGAAGTAGTAGAAATGTTTGTTACTGTATTTTGTTTTTTAAAAGATTCTAGTGAAGTATCTCAAACACTCCTGGATGATTTTCGTGCTTGTCAAGGATATATCTTTTTATCAGAATTTTTATTAAAGTAAGAATTTTTTTAATCTTAATAATATTTAAGTTAATATAATTGTGATAGATTATAAACTTTAAAAATATTTATATTGTAGACATGCTCCATCAAGATTAGAACAAGATAGTAGAGCAGAAGCACAAGATGCTATTCGAAATTTAGTGCTTATGTTGGCATCTTTAACAATGTGTGGACATACAGAATTAAAACCAAGTCAAGCTAGTATGGGATCTTTATTTCAAATGCTTGGTTTTACTTTACCTCAACCAAGTAATAGAGGTATGAATATTTCAATATACAATTTTAAATTATATTAATAAAATAAATATTATATATAACTAGAATATATTATGTATAAAATATATATTATTATTATTTCAATATAATATATTGAAAATATATTAAATATATAATTTGTTAAAATACTATTATTTTTTATAATTGATAAAATATTAATTGTTTTTTATAGGAGGAAGTGTTCGAAATATTCAAGCATTCCAAGTATTACAATCTGTATTTGTAAAATCTAATTCACCACTTTTGTGTTGTACAATTCTCGATGCAATATCGAGTGTATATCATAGTGACAATGCCAATTATTTTATACTTGAAGGACAAAATACGTTATCCCAATTTGCAGAAAAAATTTACTTAAAAAATCGAGAAATACAAGAAAAGTTTTTTCAGCTATTAGAATTTATAGTGTTTCAACTTAATTTTGTGCCTTGTAAAGAACTTATATCATTATCTATATTACTCAAAACAAATAATTCAACTAGTTGTAGTATCTTATGTATGGAAACATTACTTAATATACTCAGGTAATGAGCAACACTTCTTATTTATATATATATTTATTATCTAATATATATGATTATATTTTATATTGATTTTTTAGACATAATAATATATTTAAAGATGTATACAGGGAAGTAGGTATGTTAGAAGTCTTTGTTACGTGTCTTCATCGTTATGCAACTTTACTGAAAGATAAACAGGCTGCATATGATCAAGGATTAGGTAATAATATTTTTATATTTTTATTTTCATTTAATATGTATAGAAATAAATAAATATTACTTTTTCAGAATGTAAAATTTGCCCAGAAGATGAGCGATTGGGTGCCTTAGTAATGGAAGCTTTGACAACATTATTGGCAAGTAACGTTCAAAATGCTAATGTTTTTAGGGAATGTGGTGGAGCACGTTGTGCTCATAATCTCGTACCCTATATGGACTGCCGATATCAAGCTCTTGGTATTGTTAGAGAATTAATACTTAGTGCAGGAGGAGATGATGATATGGCTACATTATTAGGTGTTATGCATTCAGCACCTTCTAATGCCTTAGTCTTAAAGACACATATATTAAAAGTTAGTTGATACTAATAATAATTTTTATATCTTTTAATACTCTGTTTTAACATATTATTATTTTTTAGTCTTTACTGGCTTGTTTACGAGAATCTCATCGAACTAGGACTGTTTTTCGAAAAGTAGGAGGTTTTGTATATGTGATGTCCGTTTTAGTATCTTTGGAAGGTCAATTAGGCATGCAAAGATCGGAGAATACAGAACCTTGTAATGATATTATAAAAAGAACGCCACAGGAAGAAGCACAGTTATTAACTCTTTTACATGTCGTATTTCACACTATAAGTACAGCTATGAGATTTGAACCTGCAAATGCAAAATTTTTCCATCATGAAGTAAATATTTATATATTAATGTTTATAAAGTATAGTGATTGTTAATATTATAATATATTTATATAATATTTCTTCTATAGATATGTCAATCAAGCTTGTGTGATACTTTACGATTGCTTGGATGTTTCTCAACACAGACAAAACTTACTGAAATAGATATAATATCAATTACAAATTATCATAATATGTTATCATCACTATTTACTGGAAGTGTATTAGAACCTGTATTTCCAGAAGTTATACCAAAAACATTAACATATGCATGCTTATTATTAAGACTTCTTTATGA